GTTTTAGTTTTAAAAAAAACAGTTTGGTTATACATTATTGTTAATATATATTTATAATTAGTTGTTAATATATTATTTTTCTTAACAATTTCTGGTTGGTATATAAACATACTTTTTTTTATATAATTTTCTTTTAGGATTTTGATTTACATATTTTTAGACTTATCATTATATTTAGAATTTCAATTTATATTAGAGTTTATGGCTTATTAGAGTTGAATTTTATTTCTCTTTTGTTATTGGGCTTTTTATCCCATTTTTCTTGTTTTTTGGTCGATGACGACATTTCCGTAATCTATTACCAGTTAAATTATTAATGAATAATGTTGGATCCGAGACCACCTCTTTTCTCTCCTCAGTTTCTTCTTCTTTCGATTTTATTTTGACTTTCTGTGATCGATGAAGTCTTGTATCCGTAAGACGAGATCCTACTTTTGTTTATGGTCTGTGCGACACGATTCAATTGGAGAACGATCCTCAATATCTTTTCTCTATCTTGTTCATAGCACGAATATCAACACACGATCTCCTATAGCTTGAATTCCCTTATAAGTCGAGCTACGATGATTTAGCGTCGCATTGGTCCTGATTTGGTTCATCGTCAACAAGGATCGAAGAGGTGAAGTCTGGAAATGGAGCTTGCACACAAATTCAAGGGTCAACCAAACCACTCCGTTTGGTAACATTGTTTTAATTTCATCTTTTATTCAACAGCCGAGTGTTGTGAGTCGTAAGCGATAGACACGTGGGAAATGATGAGTGAGAGGCCTCCTCTCTCTCGTCTAGAGTGTTTAGCGTATGTCCTTTGGATAATATGCGACACATTCGCTCCCACGTCTTAGGTTTTAGCGTGTGCGTCCCGATCCGCTCCCCTTTCTCTCGCCCCCGTGCGATTGAGACTCCTTTTTTCTCGCATCCTTGCGATTGAGAACCGTTCCCTGTAGTTGGTCGAACTACGACTGCTCTGATCTCTCATATCTGTTGAGAGCACGTAGGCATAGGATTACGATAATCCTAGCGAGCACTTTTTCGGTTCCCTTCCGTTTAGGCGCTTCAGGCCTAGGATCCCTTTCTCTCGCCCCCGTGCGATTGAGACTCCTTTTCTCTCGCATCCTTGCGATTGAGAATCGTTCCATGTAGTTGGCTGAACTACAACTGCTCTGATTTCTCATGCCAGATGAGAATATGTAGGCACAAGACGCGATGTCTTGGCGAGCACACTAACAATTAATCTCTATCTTCTCTCGCTTCCGTGCCCTTCTTGCTAACGACTAACCTCCTTTTCTCTTGCCCCCGTGCAATCGAGACTAGCCCGTTATCTAGAACCTTTTCTCTCGCACCCGTGCGATTGAGATCTTGTCTCATAGTTAGCCTGAACTATGTTTTGCTCTGATTTCTCATACCAGATGAGAATACGTAGGCACAAGACGTGATGTCTTGGCGAGCAACCTCCCCCGTAGTTTCCCGAACTACGTTAACTCTGACTTTTCCATTGCATGAGGGAATACGTAGGCATAGGGCGATGATGTCCTATCGAGTCAGTTCTTTCCGTTTCCTCCCGTTAGCATTAGCAACCGTAGATAGTTTGTTTTTCACCCATAAACTAGACAACAAGTGTGGATCTCGTTGAGTACAACGGACATGAGGGGTGCTCATACCTTCCCCTTGAGTAACCGACTCCCAAACCCGAGATTTGGTTGCGATGACCTGTCTTATTCCCTTTTCCGTAGGTTTTCCCTGATCATTTCCTTTCCCTATTTTGGGATAAATAACGAACGATGGCGACTCTTATGTCTTCTGCCGGCCCCTCTTCGCATCGATGTGGCACATATCTAGAGTTATTTTTCATTTTGTTATGAATATTTCAGTCTTTCTCTTGCTCTAAAGTACATGTCACAACAGATGTTGAAACATTTGTCATTACACTGTTATGACTTTGAGATATCAGATTGTTCTGTTCTGTTTTGTTATGTCCTTGTTTAGTTATGCAAAGATCAATATCTCGACATCTCTTGGGACATCTGAGATCTGTAAACCAGAATTTCAATGTTGAAGAATCACACAAGAACAATAAATAAATCCATTAAAACATGAGAAATGAGTTGAAAAATACCAAGAAATATGGTTCAATTTAAGTCAAAGTTTAAACTTAAAAATCATGCAACACCCCACTCAACCACTAAAGAAATCACATAGGTCACATCTTTGTTTTGACATAGTTGTGTGCCAGCAGTTGGAAAAAGAAAGAATATACAATTAAATATGTTTAAATGCGTAAATTTAATAGTTCACAACAATCGCACCTTCTCGAGACAAGGTCCAACATGCATAAGCATTAAATATTGCACATGTCCAAGACTCGCCCCAAAATACGCTTAAGGGGCTTGCCCCAAGCAACTCTTGAGAAACCCGTCTAAAACAATTCTTGAAGGACTCGTAGCTTTTGACTTCAATAAGGTTGTTATCCGTTTAAAGTTAATCACTTTACTATTTCCAGGTCTCGTTTTTAAGAGAATGTGGTCTAAAATAATTTTATTAGGTTTGAAGAGAAGCAACCCAGAGGGCCTGAAGGAAAATAGCCCAAAAATACAAATAATAAATGGGGCGGACGTCACCCTGGATTGCTCTTCTGTAACTTGAGTCACCCATCTCAGACTCACTCTCCTTGTTCGACCCATCAACCAACATGTAATATGCATACTTTTTCCAATGAAGTAAGTTAAAAGTAGTAAAAGGGAAAGAAATTTCCCCTTATGATTTAGGAAGAATCAGTCTCCCCATACTTCCACGACTTCATAAGAAAAGTAAGAGAAATTGTTACTCTCCTATTGCTCGATCTAATAAGCTATTAATAAATACTCCAATCTTAGGATTTAGGGAGGAATTAACTAATTTTCATAAAATTCTAGCATACATAATCTCTTACTATCAAATACGTGAGCATACTTTTTCCTTATTGTATTTCATAAGTACAATATTAGTAGAAATTTCAATAATATAAAGACTAAACTAATAGGAAATTCAATAATATAAGGACTCATTTAACTATTTTTTCTTTTATTATTTCATCTTTTCTTTAGAGGTGGCAATATGATCCATTAAGACAAAATTCATTCAATCCATCCATCAAAAAATCCATCCATCACATAAAAAAATAAGTTAATGGATTGGATTAAATCCATCCAACATATTTTAAGAATCCAATGGATTATTTTTATTTTTTTAAAAATAATTAAAAATAGATTTTTTAAAATCTAATTAAAAATAAGTTTTTTTAAAAGAAAAAAATTGTTTTTTTTTTCAATAAAAAAATTGTAATTTTTTTTAAAAAAAAAGATCGATTTTTTTTTCTGAAAAAAAAATTGGATTTTTTTGTGTGAAAAATCGATTTTTTTTCCAAAATAAAAAACTGATTTGTTTTTCGAAAAAAAGTCGATTTTTTTAAAAAATAGTTTTGTAAGGAAAAAAACAATTTTTTTCGAAACAAAAAATCAATTTTTTTTAATAAAAAAAATTTTTCCGAAAAAAAGACCGGCTTTTTTTAAAATACAAAAAATACAAAAAACCGACTTCATAATTTTTTTTAAATACAAAAAATGAATTTTTCAAAAATAAAATAAAATTGAATTTTGAAAATAAAAAAATTTATTTATTTTTACAAAATAAAAAATTTATTTATTCTTACAAAATAAAAAAAAATTGGATGGATGGATATCCATCCATTAAAAATATGTTAATGGATGGATTGGATGAATTTTATTCTTAATTCATGGATTTGATTGGATAATTTTAAGAAAATTTTAGTGGATTGTTAATGGACTAATGAATATCCATCCATTAACAATCCAATCCACATCCATCAAATCCATCCATTTTGCCACCCCTACTTTTCTTGCATATTATTTTTATTTTTCCATATTGAATATGAATTTTTTACTGTCTATTATATAAGTTCTTATATATGGTGTGGTAGAGCCGTTAAATTGAACTAATGTATATAGTCAATCCGTCAAATCCAAAAAATTATAGAGCTTGAACTTTAAAATTTAGAGTTTATATATTTTCAGTTTTTTTTTAATCCGACTCTAAAATGCCCGCTACCCATTAAAGTTAACCCGTATAAACTGTGGATAGTCGGTTAGACTCACATAACTACAAATTTAAAAAATTATAAAATATTATCTCACTACAAAATAACATAACATGTTATATATTGCTCAAAAATATATTATATTATTTATAAAAAATAATATAGTACATAAAATTGTATTATACTTAAAATAGTATAATGTTTATTGCATTTATAATAAACATTATGGTGTTTTTATTTTAATTTTTATATAAAAAATATTTTTTTTAAAAAGTTCATTTATGGTCGGTCTCCAATAGTAATTTTTGAGTTTTATATTACAATATGGCTTTTTTAAGTCCAATACTAAAAAATCAGAGATCCGAACCGATTCGTTTAGGGTTAGATAGTCCGTTTTGATAATTCTTGGTCACGTAAAATGGAAAAATATAAACTGTCACATGAGTATTTAACATTTACACGTAAATTCAATTCAAATGATAGAAGTGTAGACTGTATTTAACATTTGGCATTAAAATACATTTGATAGTAAAAAAATTATGGTACAATATATTTGATAGTAAGAAAATTAAGGTACATTAGATAGGAAAAAATTAAGGGACTATTATGCTATTTCATAAAATTCATGAACTAATATAATCATGTTCACAAATTCAAAGACTAATAACCTTGAATATAAAGGATCATGTTAAAAAAACTACATCATGCAAAAGTACAATTAAACCCCAAAAAGAAACAAACATAAATAGGGCCAAAACTATAAGTCCATGAGTCCCAATGTGCCCATGGTCCCTCCCTTAATCTATCCACTATACTCAATACTTATCTCTAAACTCTCAAATTCAACACCTTCATCCAAACTTTCTTATTTCCCAAAGTAAAGTAAACCAAAAGTCACCAAGTAACTAGTATGGCTGTAAGCAACAACATAACCGCAATCCTAAACTTCATAGCAACACTATCCTCAATCCCAATAATAGCCTCCGGCATATGGCTAGCGTCAAAACCAGACAACCAATGCATCGCAAACTTCCGATGGCCAATTGTCATCATCGGCATCCTAGTCCTCCTCGTTTCTCTGTCTGGTTTCATCGGTGCTTACTGGAACAAACAAGGTCTCTTAGCACTTTACCTTTTCACTATGGCAGTTCTAATCGCTGTCCTCCTCATCGTCCTCGTCTTCGCCTTCGTCGTTACCAGACCAGACGGAAGCTATGTTGTTCCTGATAGAGGGTATAAAGAGTATAGTTTGAACGGGGCTTCGTCTTGGTTGAGGAAAAGGGTGACTGGTTCTGGGAGTTGGCAGAAGGTTAAACCGTGTTTGGCTGCTTCTGATGTTTGTGTTAAACTTGCACAGAATTATATCACTGCTGATCAATTCTACAGTTCTCACATCTCTCCATTACAGGTAACAAACTCAAGTTTTTTTTCTTCTTTATCTTTCTCACAGTTTGTAGATAAAACAAGATAGTTTCATTACGTGCATAGTAGTCTTAATTTTTCGGAGACTCTGGATAACCCGTGATTCTATTTAATTATAATTTAACCGTGTCAGAGTTTAATGTGACAAATTTAGAGCCTATACTAAAGTTCATCTTGCACATTCTCAAAGACCGTTCGACTCTCTTACGAGCCGTAAAGAGTGCTCTGGCTTCTTGGAAACAAACAAGATATAAATGATTGATTCCATAAAAGAAAATTATTTTTGGAGTTACTTATTGCTCTTTTGTCTGTACCTCAAATCTGAGGCCCACATCACATGGTACCATGTTACTATGTTTAATTCTAATTACTGAAATCAAGAGCTACTGTACTTTTTTACATTCATATATGGAAGACTTTAGGCGTATCATAAAGTCAATATTATTCAGTGAAGCTTCATATCCTTCTTTGTCTTTGTGAAATTACTATATTGTTTTGGTAGCTTGTAGGGAAAGTTAATGTCTGTGACTTTTTAACTGGACCAATAAGTTGTGCACCGTCCCATTCATAATATAATATGGCACAATGCATTTGTTAAATAAAATATGTTTGGTGGATCCAAAGTTACTTTTTATTGCTGGTGACAATGATAAACTAATTGTGGGTGATGTGAATTTCAATCCATAGTTTTCAATCTTATTCATAACTTGACCTACCATTTAGAAATCTGAGGTTTACACTAAACATGTCTATCTTGAATTAACATGACTTGAAAATGCATCATTAGAAAGTTAGCGAATGATTGAGGCACCCGAAAGTTCCATGACAGATAGCTGTTGACTTATTCAGAGAAATCATTAGAAAGTTAGACATTAATTTAATCAGCTTTGTATTGTTAATCTCATTGTTTTGTCTCTATTGTACAAGATAAAAATGTTATTGTTTACAGCTTGATTTTTTTTCTTCCAGTCAGGATGTTGCAAACCTCCAACTGTTTGTGGATACAATTATGTGAGTCCCATAATGTGGACAAACCCTGTGAATCCCATGGCTGATTCAGATTGCAACTTATGGAACAATGATCAGAACCAACTATGCTACAATTGTAATGCTTGTAAGGCTGGTTTACTTGGGAACCTAAGAAAAGAATGGAGGAAAGCAAATATAATTCTCATAGTGGCTGTGGTTGTACTTATATGGGTCTATGTCATTGCTTGTAGTGCCTTTAAGAATGCTCAAACAGAAGACCTTTTCACTCGTTACAAACAAGGTTGGGTTTGAGTTTCACCCTCTTTCCTCAGAACATATGTAACATGGACACTTCAAGTTATAATCAATCAATCAGTTTCATTTTCTAGTAGCTATTCACAACCAATTAAAATCAAAATCAGTAATGTGTACTCAATTAACTTTATATTCAGATCAGTTGTGACTTGTGAGTGATGACTTAGCCACAAATTTTCAAAGGCAGCAACTTAGGCTCACCATTAACTTAGATAAATCATATATTTTTATATTTAGGTTAGCTGTTGTTATATTTTCTTTTTAACTATTCATTGATATTAATGCTGTTATTATCCATAATTTTTAATTAGAGTCTCTTCTAACGTAATCAAAAGTTTTGAGTTCGAATTTAATCTAAAGAATTTAATGTTAAGAAAGCAGTTGTGATAAAATTTTTAAAAAAGAGTTTTATTGTTCATTGCAGTTTTTATTAATTTAATGTATTAGTTACAAATAGAATTTTTTTTCTAGAAAGAATTAGTCTTTATAGTTACAAGCAGAAGATACTCCGTTCCTACGAAATCCTCATCAACGCTCATTTCATCATCTACTTCAACATTTTATGTAGCATTTACATGACCATCACCCTTTTCAACATCAACTATAATATTCTCACCATCATTCCCACGACCATCAACACTCCTTCTCCAACAACATTTTTACCATCATTCACATGACCATCATCACTCATTTTATCAGCAACATTTTTACCACCATCCATGTGTCCATCACTAGTCATTTCTTCAGCAACATTCTGTCGCTACCGCGAAAATAAGGTGCCGACAAAACAGAAGAGTCACCACCTTTCGTTATTTATCCCTCAGAACGGGAAAAGAAACGATCGGAAAAACCTGACGAAAAGGTATAAGACAAGGTCATCGCAACCAATGTCTGGGTTCGGGAGTCGGTTACGCAAGTGGAAGGTATTAGCACCCCTCACGTCCATCGTACTTGATGGGATCCACGCTTGTTGTGTTTATCTGACGGGTTTGTTTAACTATCTACCTATCAAGGCTGGTCTGAAAAGAAAAGAAAATGACTCGGCAAAGCGTCGCACTTTATGCCTACGTATTCTCATCAAAGAATGAGAAATCAGAGTCAACGTAGTTCGGCTAACTATGGATTACGGGGAAGGTGGCTCGCCAATACGTCAGTATTGTGCCTACGTACTCTCAATAGGTATGAGAGATCGGAGCTTACGTAGTTCGGGATAATTCGGATTACGGGAATTCAGATTCATCTATTTTTTCGAGTAGGGTTAACAAACAGTTCCAGCAATTTGGTGTACGCAGCTCGACCCTCAGAGACTTAGGCGTTACCGTTTGCGGTAGAACTGAAAGTTAACGACACTCTTTTCTTCAGAAAAACTTCCTTTGAATTATGGGCCCACGGGGCAAAAAGATTTGAAGTTTGTTTCCTGTCTTTTACGGAAGAACTGTTTTTTATGGATGTTCGCAACTAATATCGCACTAGAGACTATGACCTGAGAGTGAATGCGTCGCATGTCACCCTAAGGGTACCATACTAAACATCCAGACTGTTGAAGAGTGACCCTTCAACAACCCTTTCTCAAATAGCTTAAGGCTCGTAACGTATGACATCAGTTAACCTTTATTACTATATTTTAATTTGTTTTGAGATGAGGAGAGAACGAACAGGTTCAACTAAGGGGAGACTATCAAGTCCTAATGTTGTCATGCCAAAGATTCATCCTATGGTTGAGGTTTGAAACAAGGAACTCCTAGAAGTTATCATGCATAGGTTTCAACCTAAAGTTCTAATCATCACTTCCTTATCAAAGGAAGTGAGATTCCTAGGGGATCATGTCAATGATAAACAGAAACAGGTAAAGTATCAGCTAAACAGTAAATAGTAAACAGTAAAGATGCATGCAATGCAAGTGAGAGAGGAAATGTGTGTGGGGCATAAGCCTCCACAAACTCATCTCAACCTCAAGCCAGATATGAATAACTGCAAAAATAATAGAAGAAAATAGAATGAAATCAAGCAAACCACAAACCACACAGGCAAGGGAGCGAAGCTCTACCAAATACCAACAAGCAAAGCCATACAGTAAAAATACAAGCAGAGGGAGAAACTCAACCTCTAATGCAATACAAGCAAGAGGAGAAACTCAACCCTTAGTATGCTCTTAAGCTTATTCAACTACATGACCTAATCTAAATGCATCACACCAATCAAGTCACATCAATACAGTTGCACAAGAAGAAAACAGACAGTCAAGAAAGCAAATCAACAGCTTCACAGCAAAGCAATCTTCTGACAGCAATCCAGTCCACAATTTGTAACTGTTCTTCAAGTCCACCATCTTCAAGAGAATGAAAAGGGTATTCCATCTTCAAGCTTCAATCTTCAATAGGCTCCACCAAGAATGAAGGGAATCAACAAGATGAGTATTTGATGATGGGAAGCAGAAAAGGAAACCAAAGGAATCTCATCTGACACTCAACCAGTCATCAGAGAAAGGCATCCTCAAAAGTTCTACTCATTGTAAAATGTCACACATCCCTCCTAAGGAGAGATGATACTTTTAACATGAGGAACTTGAATCATAGGATGAGAATGGAATGGGAATGAAACCAACCATTATTTGAAGAAAAACTATTTCTAAAGCTCTCTTCTAAAGCCCTAATCTTATAAGCTACAAAAAGCTAACAACAAGACAAGAAAAGCTCCAATCCATGCTCCACCAGCCATTCCACACAAGCTTCATCATGTCCATGTTATCCTCCAATAAGAACCAGAAGCCCACTATGCAAGGAAAGCCCAATTTGAGTCCATTCCAAATCAATCACCAAAGTTGAAACACCAAATGAGCAATCAACTTGAATATTCTATCTAAAATATCAAAACACATTCTAAAAATCTAATTATTTTTCTATGGTAACATGCATTTGTTAATGGTATACAGTTCAAAAATCAGGACCTAATTCAATCTCTAAGTCATCTAATAAAATTCTAAGTTGAAAGGTATCATCAAAGAGATCCACTAAAAATCACTCCTAAACAACTACACTAAAAACATATTTAAAATCATTTAAAAATCATGGTAAAAATCACAAGGCAACATCAATATGTACACAAACAACATACAAAAAATCCAAGATCAAATTCAAAACCATGAGTGAGAAAGAAAATGGACAAGATCACAACATCATTATTTCACCATTAAACACATATTAAACTAAAAAATATGCAATAAAATGAAAATGCATGAAAAATGGAAAATAAAATCATGACAAAATTCTAAACATTTTAATTTGTATCCATAATTTTTCTCAAGATTTAATATCAATTTTTACTATTTTTTGTGAATTAATTTCAACAAGCATGAAAACAAAAAAATACAAGAGAAAGGAAAATAAAAGAAATAGAGGGAAGGGGTGCAGTCAGCAGCAAAATCACACTTCATTCGCTTGGGACCAGGAAAAGGGGGTGCATTAGCAACAAAGGCGTTAGGCCCATCTGAGTTTCAACTCAGTTCAAAGAAATATGCCAGGGGAGGGTGCACTAAGTAATCATTTCACGTTGTAAAATCACATTGGGCCTGGTGGTGGGGTGGTGATAGCATAAAAGACTAAAGCCCAACACAATGGATAATTCCCTCAGTTCACTAATTAAAAGAAAAGGAAGTACACGCGAGGATTCAAACTCGCTCTTTCTTGGTTCACACAGCGAAGCTACAAGACTGGGAAATTCCATTTATCAAAACAGTGCGTTGTGGGGGGAGGTTACGTGGCTCATTGAGAACGCTTGGATTGATGGACCAAGTCTTGCTTTCAACACGCATGGACGGTTAAGATTTCATCTCCTACCTTTTCAAACCTTCTGCAAACACAAAGCGCGTGCAAACCAGGCCGTCGCCGGTGGCTTTTCCGGCCACCCCTACGCAACCCTAACTCTCTCTATGATCAACCATTCGCCACGATTCCTAAATGAAACTTGCTCTAAATTTCACCAGCAACTCAACCATACTATTCATTCATGCTAAAAACGCAAGGATCGTAAAATATCAATCTCAACCAAAAATGGCATCAACCCTAAATTGTCACTAATGTTCAAATTAAGCATCCAGAATCCATCTAGATCATAGGGAGAACCTAACCGCATGCTTCTAATTCATTAAAAACACATAAACAGAGAGAAAATTCAAGAAGTTAAAACCTGGCTTTGATCTTCGATTGCAGTGGATTCAAGCCTCAATTCTCTTCCAAATCGTGCAGAAACCTTCAGTGATCAATGATGAATGATTCTTGATGATCAATTCCTGCTGAAAACTTCTGATTCTCAAAAACGAAATCTCAATTTCAAGCTTGTTTCTTCACTTTGCTTCAATGGCTTCTCCATGAATTTTGGCACTAGAAGCTTCTTAAACTGATCCAAATCATATTTATCTTCTGTTTCAACAAGTTGGAGGCCCAAACCAAGCCCATTTGTGGATTTTGGATTTTCATTTTCTTTCAAAAATTCCACGTTGGTATGCATATTCTAGCCTTGTACATTCTTCAAAATCATTCCAAATCATTCACTTAACCCTTGTGGAGTGTAATGAAGTGGTTATCATCCCTTGATTTCAATCCATGGAATGTGTTGGATATGTTTCTTATTTGTGAAGCAACTTTCCAAATGGCTATGTTAAGCACTTCAAATGAAAAATGTGACAATTCCAATCTCTTTAGAATGTCAATTCCATTCAAAATGACCTCAAATTTGACTTGAGAACATGTTATTTCCAATTATTTTGAATTTTCACCTTTTAATTCATTAAAATGGCCTTTATATGAACTTTCTTCAACCAATGCTTGATATAATCCATATCAATGGGCTCTAGATACTTGGCTAAGCTAAAAACATCATTTTGAGCAACTTTCGTGTTGAACAAAAATCCATTTGAGGCTTGCAAGATGGTGAAATTGGCTTATGATTCAAAATAACCTGTAATGCCCAAATACCCAAAATACCCTTGACTTGTCAAAGCCATAACTTGAGTTCTATAAATCCAATCATGGACTTCTAGTACTATATGGAAATCTTAGAGAATAAGGAACAACATTCATGTTGACCAAAAGTTCATAGGAATCATCCTTCTAGGGAAAAAGTGTCATGCAAGTTGGGTAACTTTCAAGCTCCAAATTCACATGCCTTAGATGACTTGTAACTTGTCTGGCTCATAACTTGAGTTCTATGAATCCTATCAAGGACTTATAGTACTCAAATTAAAGCTAAGATCATTTCCTACAACAATCATGTTGGGGTCAAGATGAGATGACAATCATATCTTAAGTTAAATAGTCTTGAAGTCAGGGGTCAAACTAGGGGATTTTATACTGTCAAGTCTTAGAAACCTTAGCCTGAAACTTCTCAAACTATTCAATCATGATGAGTTAACCTTGGAATCATCCTTACAACATATCAATGTATCAATCCATGATCGCATGGCTCTTGAATTAGGTCTCGACCTTCTGCAAATCATCAGTTGACTTAGGGTTGACCCAGTCAAACCCTAATTGCACCAATCATGGCTGAGGCTTCTTAGTCTTGCACAATGACCTGTCTAGGCCTCAAAGTGATCTCCAACACTTCTCATGAGCTCTCTAAAGACCTCAAGTCCATCCTCATGGCCTCAGAATCATCTGATGGCTTTCCACAACTCTCAAGTTAGGAGACCTCCACACTTGGCTTCAACCACTCTCTCTGAGGCTCTTTTAACTTCTCTGACAAGGATATCAACCCTTGAACATCTGAATAAACTTCTTAGCTAGCACCATAGTCTTGTATAACTCTTGATTGGTAATCATACCTCTTGATCTCCTGCACCCATGTCAATGAAATGCAAATGATAGTGCTAATGTGAATGAAATGAAACATAAGCTAGGTAAAGAAATGTTGGGCAAATTTTGGGGTGTAACACATTCTTACCATCATTCACATGATCATCACCATTCATTTCTTCAAAAACATTTTTAAAATTAATACATTGTATCTCATCATCATCAATGCTAGTACCTAACTTACTATTATATACAATCTTAAGAATGTTTACATTGTTCTCCACATAAACATCTATTACCTCAAACTCTATGACATCTTTGACAAACTGCAACACATCATTATCATTATTCAAAGGTCTAAGACTACGAGAAAAGATGAACCTAAGATTTCAATACCACATACACCTTATGTCTTTATAGCCCACACTTTTAATCAAGCTCTCTAAATCTATATATGACATGAAACTACATCCCACGTCCAATTCATCTAAATACATATCCATCAACATACCATTTAACAGGTTCAACAACCACTTTACCCCTATAGTTTATTCATAACCTAACCTTATGATCCTGAGATGGGCAGACAAATAATATAAAAAATGAATAAATTAACATGCAATGTGGGAACAAAAATTAACATTAAATAGTGATGGTAGAGCACAGAATAAAACAACAAAACATCTAAGACAACAAGTTTACATAGTAAAATCACGGTGTACCATATGTTAACTTTTAGGACCACTGAATAACATAGAAAACATATATGGTAACACACTAATGAGACAAGAAAACATACCTTAAATAGAACTTCACTTCTTCACTACTATCAAAATGCCCATTGCTCATTTTCGTCAACTTTGATTACTACAAAATAATGATTACAAATACCTTTTAAAAACTATAATTCTGTTCTCAAGAGGACTAATGTTGGACCAGATGTCCGGGACAATGAGAACAACTGATTTTTGACATATAACAGAGTATGGAGACAGATGTCAGACACAATGCCTAGGAAATAGTATACCAAAATAAAAATCAGTTTAAAATAGCAAGAGAAAACATTTTAGCTTATATAAGATGATGAAGCAAAAAAGTAATAAAAAACACAAGAGATTGGTAGTCCAGTTCGGTGAAACCACACCAACGTGTGGGAGACACTCTACCAAAGAGAGAAAATTCATTACTTCGAATTAGTACAATTAATTTTATAAGAACATAAACCCCATGATGTTTAATGACTCTTCCTAATCCTAATGACTTTCTATTTAAGACTCCCCCTAATTTCGTCCAAAATAATAACATAAAAATCTCGAACAAAAGGTATGATTTGTTATTAATTCAAATTGAAATTTAAATCTCCATTTAAATTGATTTGATCTTCAATAGTTGTCAAACAAATCACACAAACGTATTCCTAAAATATAGCAACAAATCTAATTGAATCTCAATCAGAATTTTACTCCAAAAACGCAACAACATCATGTTGAAACACATGCTGAAACATCATGTTCCACACATGTCTCTTCTTCACCAAAACTACAACAACATTGGTTTGTTGACAAAAACCAGATGTTGCAGCACACATGTTGGAACATCGTGTTCCATATATTGCACCAGAATATTCAAAATAAGTCTATTCAAATAAATATTATTTGTAGGGTAAATCTTGGGTCCAATCTTCTTTCAAAGTAATTCCAATCGAATCCACTTTGACTGAATAACAATAAAATATTTTAATTAAATAATATTTTTCATATTCACGATATAATAAAATCTTTTCCAACTGATTCATATTAATTACACAAACTTCTTCAAAAACAAACTTCTGTATCTTTTGAAGAAATTAATACCACAACAAATTTGAAAGAATTATGAAGATAATTAAAACATAATCCTTAGGCCAAGATGTTACATAACACGTGCTTAACATTTTGCTTACAACCAATTAACTGTGTAACACCCTAAAACCTGATTCTTAATTTAAAGGAATAAAATCACCATTTTAGGATGCTACTCAAATATAACATGCATACTTTCCATCTAATTTCAAAACTCGCAGCGGAATTCAAAATAATTAACATAAACTTCCAATATCTCTTCAAATGAAGTACTTAAAGAAATTAACAAAATTCAACCATTAACTAAAAACAATTTAAACAACTTGTTCCCTGATGTTACATATCAAAGCAATTGTTCAAACTAAACAATGATAAAAACAATAAAGAAAAACGAAGAGAACTTCATAGTCCCCTTCCAACTCACATAAGAACTTACGCCTCCAAGGTATTTGTACCATAATATAAAATAAATAAAAACAAAAAACAAAAACAAAGGGGTGAGAGTACGCTTAAATATATTAACAATGTAAAAGAATGTGTTCCTGATAAATATTTTTGCATAATAACCATGAAGCGAGTCAGGTGAGACCACAAACGCAATGAGAATTGGGTGTTTAGGAAGTTTGTTTAGAAGAGACGGATGACCATCACTTTTGAGATCTTCCCCGGTTTTTCTTTTGTCTCTGTCTCTCATCACCTTTCTCTTGTCGTCTGCCCCATATTTATACTGTTACTCTCTCTCTTCTAGGATTCCAAAAGATTTCACAATTACATTTTAATAGATATCGACACATGACCTATACAGATAGACTGATGACATATACAGGTCGACACATGTATAGAATAGATCAACACATGACTTACATAGGTTAACTTATGCAACATATTTTTCCAAAAATTCATAACTTTTTCAAATCTCTTATATTATACACATTATTTGTCAATAAAAGATTACTATAAAATATTTCTCAAAGAAAATCATAAAGAATGCAATTAAAAAGTCCAATTATGGGTGTGAATGCATGCATGTCCATTGGCTTATATTTATTCTTACATTTGGCAAACACCATCTGGCAAACAACATCTTTAACTAAAAAGTCCAATAAAGATGTTTGTCCTTTTTTTTCCATTATACTAAAAAAACAAAAATATGTTATTTTGAAAAATTTATCATACAATTTTGATTAGTAGACTTTTTAACCACTACAACTATAACACTACAGTAGAACTAAACTAGATTCCTTAAATAAATTTTAAACTTAAATATAGTAAATGGAAAAATGTAATTGAAAGGATAGACTTTATTAAAATAATTAAAAATATGACCTTGTTGGCTATTATAAACAAAAATTTATTTTTAAATTTATTAAGTAACGGTTGATGTGTACTATATATAGATCAATTAAATAAATTATTTAATAAATCTAAAAATATATAATATTTTATTTGTAAATAATAAATGTAGTAACTAACCCTACATAGTAACAAATTAATACCTATAAAGTTTCATAATGGTGAAACTATTCTCTCGCATATTCCATTGATACCAAAATGGATCGACCCGGATTCATAATCGAACCCACCGAAGCCAAATCCATGGCTGAAACTTCCTCTGTCACGGAACTGCTCCCTTCACTCATCAACTCCGCCCAAACCCTCGCCCGCCCACCCATCTCCAACTTCCGCGTCGCCGCTGTCGGACTATCGAAATCGGGTCGGATCTTTATCGGAGTCAACGTCGAATTCCCAGGTCTCCCTCTTCATCACTCCATCCACGCCGAACAGTTTCTCCTCACAAATCTCTCCCTCAACAATGAGCCAAATCTCCAGTCCTTCGCCGTCTCCGCCGCACCCTGCGGCCACTGCCGGCAATTTCTCCAAGAACTCCGCGGAGCACCCGACATTCAAATCATTATAACCTCAGGACCCGACCCGAAACCCACTCCGCTGTCTCAGTTTCTCCCATACAGATTCGGTCCACACGATCTTCTCCCTCAACAAACTCCTCTTTTCTTGGAACCACGCAACAACGGGTTATCCCTTCATTTTCCTCCAGAACCAACTCAGAAACTACCCAATGGCGTTTGCAACGGTGAGACGCTAGATATGAAGCTAAAGATTGCGGCTTTGGAGGCTGCGAATAAATCACACGCTCCTTACAGTGATTCACCATCTGGGGTGGCGATTGTTGATTGTAATGGAAAAATCTATAAAGGTTCTTACGTTGAATCGGCGGCGTTTAATCCTAGTTTGGGTCCTCTTCAGGCTGCGGTGGTGGCGTTTATTGCCGGCGGTGGAGGTGAGTACGATGAGATAGTGGGGGCTGTGTTGGTGGAGAAGGATGGAGCTGTGGTGAAACAAGAGGGGACTGTTAGGTTGTTGATGGAAGCTATTTCTCCTAAGTGTGAGTTGCAGACTTTTCTCTGTTCCGTTGATGATCATTCTTCGATTTGATTGTAGCAACGGAAAAAAAAGACAGAAAAAGAATCATGATTATGAATGATGATACCTTGTTATTTGTTCTGTTGTTGATGTTTTGCTTTGTTTGAAAAACAAGTTGGATAATGGAGTTCATTCACTAGTGTGAGACAAAACTCAAACCGCATCTACGAGGTACATATTATCTTAAGTCTTCATGTTTTATTAACCTAGTATTCACATTTACAACAAGATTCAAACGTTGTCTCTGTATTTTTTATTTTGTTATAATGGCAGTTTAATCCATTCATTTTATGTATTATTGTGTTTATACTTTAGACTCCACTCAAATAATGATCATTGTTTTTAACTTTTCTATTCATTGTTTAGAAATTTTAGACTAGGGGTGTGAAAAAAACTGGTTTATAAGAATCAAATTTAAAAATACGGTGCATCGATTTCAAAAGTCCATATTATTTAGTTTAAAAATTAGTCCAAATTCATTTTACTAAAACTATTAAAAACGGGTGTCCACTTTTCAAAACCATGGTTAATCCACTTTTCAAACTCGGTCTTTTTTTTATGATCATAAATGACAATTAAAATGTATATGTAATGTATGTAGGGGTGTGCAAAATAATGAATAACCATAAACTAAATTCCTATCCAAATTAATTCAAATTTTAAAATATAGTCCAAATTTATATTTTAAATTTGGTGACCCATTTATCAAATAAAAAAAAACGGTAACCATTTGTTTCAAATCGGATTGAGATTTGGTAACCATTTTTTAATAAGTTTCAAAAACAAAAGTAGAATAGTTTGGGAAAATCAAGATCGACACCCCTAGTTTGTAATAAAATTGATTTGGTTTAAAGTAGAATAAGTTTAAGGTAGATAGTTTGCAATAAGTTTAAAGTAGAATAAGTGTCACGATTACTTGATTTATATCAATTCAACGTACTTCTCGATTAAAGTTTAAGATATATGGGGTGTTGATTTAATTCAATGTAAAACTGGAATAAAATTGATTAATTGATTTATATCAATTATTTGATAGTTTTCAATAAGTTTAAAGTAAAATAAGTTTCAGGTGGTTTATCAATTATTTAATAGTTTGCAATAAAATTGATTTTTTAAAAAAGTTTTGATTTTAAAATTGATTTCTTTAAAGAAAATAAAAAACTGGTTTTTAAAAAAACTGTTTTTTTAATAAAAAAACCGGTTTAAAACCGAACCAATCCACTTGTAAACCGATTTTAAAAAAATAAACCGGTTTTATATAAATGGTTTTAAGATCCAAACCAAACCATATATGTGGTTTGGTTTGATTTGGTTTATAATTCACGCACACCCTATTTTAGACCGTAACCATGTTGTGTTCACCTAAATTAAATGAAAAGAATAATAGTGGTAAGTGATGAAATGAATTAAAATTCATACCACTTCATTTCTTTCCGCTTGATTTAATTTCAAATTACTCAAACAATGGAATATTATTCCTTTGCATTATATTCCGCTCCATTCCATCTGATTTTATCATCCAAATAACACCTTAGTTTAATTTTGTCTTCAATTGATTAAATAGTTGAATAATATAAAAGGACTAAATAGTTGAATAATCACAACGGAAGAAGAAAATCACATGTCAATGATACTATGTGAAGATGCTAATTATGCAATTTATGCCATAAAAATAACAACCTTTGGTTGTGACTTGAAGAAGAAGAAAGAATATCATGCATGTAATGAAGAGTGAAGAAGAAGCAAAATGTATTATTCAATCTTGATCAGTTTCAAAAGCATAAAGTTGGTTATATATGAAGTAATTACAACTAACTAACCAACTAAAGTATAACTAACTTAGAGTTAGTTATTTATGTTATGGCATTGATTACATCATCATGTAGTTACACCATTATGTGCATGTGTATTGTTTACATTATGATCATCATCTTCATTATCATTAACAACCCCCTTAAGCTGGAATGAATATCAATCATTCCAAGCTTGGTTTGAAGATTGTGGAATGGACCCGAATGCAATGACTTTGTGAGAATATCAGCTACTTGCTCTTTTGTGGTAACTAGCATGAGGTGTACGGTGCTAGTTAATACCCTTTCTCTAACCACATGGCAATCGATCTCAATATATTTGGTTCTTTCGTGGAACACCGAATTGGTCGCGACATGTATAGCATATTTATTGTAACAGTAGATAATGATTGGCATTAAATGAGGTATTTGGAAATCTGCAAGAAGATATATGAGTTAAACCCCTTCATATGTGGCTTGAGTTAAGACACGATACTCAGCTTCATAAGAATATCTTGATATCATAACTTGCCTTTTGCTTTTCCAGCTAATGAGGGTTTCTTAAAGGAAGAAACACATGTCTGATGCAGACCTGCGAGTGTCAGGATAGACACCCCAATCTGAGTCTGAGAATCCTTTAATACATAATGGGGAATTATAGCTGAAGAATATGCCTTGGCCTGGTTGATTCTTAAGATATTATAGAACATGAAGACCAACTAACAGATGGCTACCAGTGGGAGCAACAAAAATTGATTGAGTTTGCTTACAACATAAACAATTTCTGGTCTGGTGTGAGTGAGGTATAAGAGGTGGCCAATGAGTCTTCGATAGGTGGTGGGTTCAGATAAGGGAGTTCCAAGGTGTTTGTGAAGTTGAAGATGAGGTTGCATAGGAGTAGTGCAAGATTTTGCACCAAGGAGGCATGCATCATTGATTAAATCCAAAGCATATTTCCTTTGACATATCAAAATGCCATAAGTATTTCGAGCAATCTCAAAGTCTAAGAAATATTTAAGGATGCTTAGGTCATTGATGCTAAATTTTGCATCCAATGAAACTTTGAGTTGTTGGATCTCATGAAGATCATTCCCACCTAGAACAAGATCATCAATGTAGACCGGGATAGCAGTGAAACCTCTTGGAGAATTTTTGGTGAAGAGTGAATAGTCAACCTTGGACTAAGTGTAACTTGAGGAGATGAGAGTGTCAGTAAGCTTGGTGTTCCATTGCCTACTTGCCTATTTTAAACCATAGAGAGATTTTGTAATTTGCATACAAGATCTGGTTGTGGCAATGGAAGGCCTGGTGAAGCTTTCATGTAATCTTCTTCATTAAAATCACCATAAAGAAAAGTTGTGTTGACATTAAGCTGAAAGAGTGGCCAATTGTGAACTATTGCAATTGCCAATAGAACTCTGATGGTGTTCATTTTCACAATTGGACTGAAAGTGTCCATGTAATCTAAGCCTCCAGTTTGTGTAAATCCTTTTGCAACCAAACAAACTTTGTATCTTTGAACTGTGCCATTATCATGTAATTTCACTTTGAAGACCCATTTGCACCCAATGGCCTTCTTTTGTGGAGGTAAAGGCACAAGTTCCCAAGTCTTGGTCTTAATCAAGGCATCCAACTCATAATTGATATCATTTCTCTAGTTAACATCATAAACAACAGTTTCATATGTTTTTGGTTCACTAAACGAGGACAAGTTTAAAAGGAAATGTTTGTGTGCAGGTGATAATAAGTCATAAGAAAAGACAAAGGAAATAAGATACTTACAATTGGGAGATGATGTGAAATCAGCTGAATATGAGTTGTGGATTATATTTGAAAGTAAGTTGCAGTGGTAATCTTTGAGATATGCTAGGGGTTGTACAAGTCTGCTAGATTTTCTAGTAGGTATGAGAGTTGTATCAAGGGTAGGAATAACATTAGCATCAGATAAAGGTGTAGGTATGTTATTGTTGGTGGAACTCTGTGAAGTATGAGGTGAATTCTCTCTTAATTAATGAGAGGATGAAGATGGAGTTATGGTATGAATAGGTGAAGGTTGGCTAGGCAAGGTTGGCATAATGGTATAATCAAAAAACTCATTTAAACTGGTAGAGTATTGAGGTGTAGAGTTAGGATGTGGAACTTGGATAGGAGGAGGATCATGTTAGTAAGGAAATTGGGACTCAAAGAAGACAACATCTATGGACAAAAATAGTTCCTTGCATTGTAAGTCAAATAGAATGTGGAATTTTACATCAGACTTGTAACCCAAGTATATGCATTTTCGAGACCTAGAGTCCAATTTCTTTCTGTTGGCTTTCAAAGTGGCTACATAACATAGTGATCCAAAGACCTTTAAGTTGGACATGTCAGGGAGTTTAGTGTATATGGTTTGGTAGAGTGACTTATGTTTCAAGAAAAGAGATGGTAATCTATTTTATGGTGTGTACAACATGTCCAATAGCATGAGCCTAAAAAATAGTTGGTAAGTGTGCTTGGAACAATAGAGCTCTAATGATGCATAGGATGTGTTGGTGCTTCCTTTCAACAATGCCATTTTGTTGAGGAGTACCAACACAAGATGTTTGATGAGTAATGCCAAACTGTTTTTAAAATCCAGTGAGAATGAATTCATTGCCATTATTAGATCTAATACATTTTATGTGGCAAATGAATTGAGTTTTGATCATTGCTACAAAGGATTTAATAAGAGATGTTGTCTCAGATTTCACTCTCATTAGAAAAAGCCATGTGAATCTACTTTTATCATTTATAATGGTTAATAAATACCTATATCCCATCATGGATGGTGATGCCAAAGGACCCCCCCTATATCCATATGTATTAGATCAAAACTGAATGAAAAACATGAGAACTAAGATGAAAAGGTAATATCTTTTGTTTAGCATAAAAACACACATCACAAGGAAGAATTTTATTGATAGGTTTAATAAAAGGAAAAATTTTATTGAGTTCTGTCATACCCTAATTTTTGACTATAAGATTCTACGTCATTTTGCATCATCTGTATAGTTTGTCATGTCTCTGTTTTCCGTGAAAATTGGTAAACAACCGCTGATCTTCCAAATCTAACTTTGGTGACTCACAGGATCGATCAGATTGATCCTAGGACATGTGCTAACAATTGATTCAAAGTAAAATCTAAAGACTAAACACTTCGACAGTGTTCATAAAAAGAAGTTTATCTGAAAGTATGGTTCAAAA